AGAGAGAGAGAGAGAGAGAGAGAGAGAGAGAGAGAGAGAGTCCAAACTCAGGAGGCAAGCACACGGCATACATACAACATCGGCTGATCACATTTATGGTCAGAAAATACGTCAAACAGACTTGAAATTGGAACTATCAGCAAACAGATCAAGTGCAGCGTTCTCGGACTGCAACTGTGTGGGTCGTTGCTCACGCCACAAACAACAAAATGATCCTCCCAATGCTCCCATGGAAAACCGCCACAAATGACAAGTAGACTAACTACCCCAATAAAAGGGGGAAAAAAGGTTTGTTGGTATTCCCTCCTGTTTTTTTGCAAGTGAAGCTGCCACAGGTCATCTAGTTAAGGGTTAGAACTTAGAAGTGCTTGCATGCACTGAACCTCATTTCAATGAGAAGCAGGTTCAAGCAACATATTTTTGTCTGAAAGGGGTTTATCATTTATGACTTTTGCATCCTTTCTTCTTTTGTTTTTCCTTAACAAAACAAAGACTCCAATCTGTTGTTGGTTGGGAACCGCTGCAGATGCACCTTTTTTTTTTTTTTTTTTTTTTTTTGCTATAAAGGAAACTGGGCCCAGTGTCGCTTAAAAAACTCGTTATCTTCAAAACGATAGCTGAAAACTGCGTCCACCGTCCACTCACTCACCAAGACGCACCCATAATTCACTTACTCAGCAAGACACCCAGACTTTGAATCCTGTTGAATTCAGCGATCTTAAACCGCTAGTACATGGCCCCAGCCAAGTTGAGATTCCGATTGAGCGTTTCCAAAAAAACTCGGAGGCTCGGGACAGGGCGTTCGAAGGGCCAGGAGGAAAAAAAAGTTGTCCCACGCCGTGGGGTGGCACTAGGCCCAGCCCCGAACAGAAAAACCATTCCGCCCCACTCCCAGGTGGGCCCCTGTCCCGAGTCCCATAACTTTTCGGAGAGGCTAATTCGAATTTTCCAGATGTACTGGTGGTTCAAGGGTTATCCGCGAAATCCGAATTATCCTTGGCTGCGTGGAAGCTCAGGTCAGCAAGAAGCAAGCAGTATATTTTTGTTTTGTCTGAAAAGGGTTCATGAATCTTGCATGTGTACCTGTTCTGTATGCATATATGGTGTACAGTGTACACAACATTACGGGCTGTGGTTGACGGCGGGAATTGTGTAGGGTGCTGCTGCACACATGGTGTGAAGGGGAAATAGGGTATCATTAGATTCGATACTATCTTACCTTTTTCTTTCTTTTTTTTTTTTTGTTTTTAGTGTGACCCGATGGGTCACGGATCAGATATTAAACTGATCAGAACAGATACTACACTTGATCTTAGCCAAAAGGCCGAGAAAGGTCTTTCTTTTTTTTTTTAACTTGGACCATTTCTCGATTTATGTGTGTGCCATCCTTGCGCAGGGGCCATTTGCTAATTTACCCTTCTCTGTATTGTTCCAATTTTAACGGACGTCCCGAAGGACAAAATTAATAGGGTATCATACTATCATTCTTTATTCCTGAATCGTGTGGCCGCTTAGGTGGCTGGCAAATGCATTTGCAAGCAAAAACAATCTTGACTTGGTTAATTGGAACTTGTATTTTTGGTAGATGTGAAGGGTGTGAAGGGCATAGGTATCACTGTATCATTGCTTTGTGTGTGTGTTGTACATGTGTGGAAGAGGGGGGGTTGGGGGGAAGGGGATGGATGGGATGGATGGGATGGATGGGATGAGCTGCACAGTTTTTTAGGGAACGGGCATTGCTTGTGTGCGTGTTCTGGTACATGTTTTTGACTGTAGCCTCCAAATGATGAAGAAAGTCTGGCATTGCTCAAACACTACCTCTTAAGACGGGAAGAAGACAATCTGGATGAAGCGGATGCAGAAATACTCTTCCAAGGTGGTGTTGATGGACATGCAGAGATGGAGGACAAGGCCAATCAGAAAATGAAATTGAAGGATAAGCCCCCAAGTTTTTGTGACGAAAGTTTCTTGAAAACTGTGGCTTCACAAACTGGTGAGTGGTGGGAAGATGCTCTTAAAAAAGCAGCAAACACAAAACAATGACGAACCCGAAAAAGCGCGAAGTAAAGTTTGTTAAACTAAACGAGCGCCGACGGATTCGTTGCACGCATCCCAATACAACGGAATTGCAACGCGGAGTCGTAAAAAAGGCGAAAAACCCGAGAAAGCGCGAAGTAAAGTTTGTAAACTAAACGAGCACTGATGGATTCGTTGCAGGCGTCCCAATACAGCGGAATTGCAACACGGAGTTGTAAAAAAGGCGAAAAAAAATGATTTCTGATCTGATGTGATTGCGGATTATTGCTCGTAAAAAGGTCATCCTACCCATTGCCGATGTGGATCATCAACCATCGCATTGCTGATCCGGATGAGCTGTCTTATGAGACTCATTTTTCAGTCTGGCTTTTGACTTGCATGGGTCCTGGGGAGCATCTCACGCAAGTGTGTACATGCCATGCATCGTACTCCCACACACAATGAACAGTAGTCTGACAATAGACAAAGATAGAGAAGATGAGGACCGAGTTTCACAGTTTATATTATCAGAAATATGAATACGAAGTGTTTCAAAGTTCCCCTGAGTCCAGCGCTCATCAGCGCAACACCAATATCTTGCCAACTCATCAATATGC